GCGCGGCCCTCCACTGCGGCGCTCCACGCGTACTGTCCGCGGCGCAGCCGTTCTCCACTGCGGGCGCTCCGACGCGGCTGTTCCCCGCGCGGGGCAGCAGGGGGCGCCGGCAGGCACCCGACGCCTGCGCAGAGGCAGGCTTAGAGGAGCCTCCAAGGTCTGCAGTCAAGACCTCGCCCACTCGGGGAGGACTGTTCCTTTCCTGTAGGCAGGCGGTGCTCGCCCTCGCGTCCCCAGCACTGCGCACGCGCCAGCGCAGGGGCGCCCTCTGTCCCGCCGGGGAACTCGTGTCTTCCCGCCCCAGGGCTTCCGCAGTGCCTGGGGCAGAGAAGGTGGCGATCAAACGGCCCAGGACTCAGACACCCAGAGTGAAGGGTCCGGAGGAGCAGAGTTATGGAGTGGGACTGGGATGTGCTGGGGACCGCGCTGAAGTGCCCTGAGGTTCCGGCTTAAACTGAGTTCCCAGCGCCGCCCCGCCCCCAGCCAGCTTGCCCGACAGGTGCGCGCCACCCTGGTCTGGACTGCAACTGGCTGAATGTCCACGGCTGGGGTTTCCTTTAATCTTCCTTCTTGCCATGTTTTCCCTACCGTCAGAGGAACCTCCCGTTGCTACTGCTTTCTCTGGAGAAAATGTCTTACTAATTTGGGACATATTTTGCCAAGAATAGAATTTCTACTTGAAGTATTTTATTTTTGTGACTGTTAGTCCAGAAGCACAAAGTCTCAAAAATTTAAGTTTTTAATATTCATACCCTAATTCAAGCATGAGCAAACCACTTACACAAGCCTTTAACAAGGGCTGTTTAAGAAAGGCTAGGCTTCTATTTCATCCCCCTGTACTTTTCATTGCAATAACACACATTTTCTTTGTTACAGAGGCAACGCGAACTCTCGCACCAAATAATGTACATTACAAAAGGTGCAGCTAAGCCTGAGAATACTTTTTCAGAAAGTACAGGGCTCAGTGTCTACTTTGCTCTCTGGCTTTGTTCATACAGTAACTGGATACACAGCTTTGTGTCAAGGGATAGAGCCCCCTTTTGAAGAGCATCCTTTTAGTAAAGCTAAATGACAGACACATTTGGATAGTTTCAGAAGCAATAAAATCAGGTTAAGAAGAGGGAAGCCAGGTTGCGTATGACAACTCAGCTCACATATTAACAGGGACTATATTAAACATTGGCACATGTTGACATACAGAAATATCCCTGTGGATTTAAGAATGTGTTTGCTTTCATCTTACATCATTGTAAAATGGTAGGGGTGCGAGTGTCAGGTAAGGTGGTGCGGGCTGCGTGGCTGCAGACCTCCTGGAGGCTGCAGAACCCGAAGGGGAACGGGGGCGAGGTCCGCTCTGTGGACAGGAGCCTGGCGTCTGGGGTGCCTTAGGCCATCTGAGCGAGGAATGAAATTACTCTTATCAAGAATGCTAGGATCCACGCTTTGTGCTGAGTAGTAAGTCCTATCACTCCGCCCAGTGAGGCATAGGGAGCATCATTAGTGTTAAAGTTGAGCAAATTGAAGCTCAGACAGTTTGAGCGGCGTGTCCAGCTAGTAGCAGCGGCAGGAGTCCGACTCGGCCTCCCCGGCCAGCGCACGGGCCTCGCCCAGGCAGATGAACACGGCGACGCGCTCAGCGTCCCGGAAAAGCCAGGCGGACAGGAGTTTAAGGACCTTGGCGAAATGTTGCCCCTGTGTTCATCCTTCTGCAACTTGGCTCCTCTGTTGACTTTTCAGTATTTGGTACAAGTAGGTCATTTAAGACAATATTAAGGCACCTGATTAGGAAAGCATTCCTAGCTGAACAGTAGAAACTTTGAACTCAGCCTCTTCTTGCTGATAACCTTCTCTTTCAATAGTTCTTTCTCAGCGTTCCTTAGGCAGAGATACTGGGTAGATAGAAATCATCTTTGGGTACGTGGCAGGTGTCACAAGGCACAAGTCCACCCAGGGTCTTTCGGTACAACCAAGGCAGAGTAGAGAGCAGGAAGCAAGTCATCATGGAACTGCAGCCTCCACACTGGAGGGGCGAGAGGCCGGCTGAGAAGAGGGGCCGGGCAGGTCACACCATGCTGGGCAGATGCATCCCTTTGACGGGAGAGAGTTGACCATAGTTGGGCACTCTGAAAGCCAAACAGGAAATCTGAGTGGCAGCGGACTCAGTAGGCGATTACTAAGCTCTGCTTGATTTGAATATCAAATATTTTTAACTCTTAAAGCGGGATCTGGCACCTCAACCCACTGATCATACTTAACACAGAAACCTTGTCCAACTAGATAGTGAATCCCTCACGACACGATGCAGCGGCCAGTAGACAGCACCGTGTGGAAACGTCACCACGGGAAGAAAGGAACCCCCGTCTGATGAAGCCTCTAGGTTTAGCCGCAGGATGTGGGGAAGGGGAACACACTGACACCTCGAGGAGGCGGTCAGCCCATGTTGGACCGTGGGAGACTCCACATGGCGAGGACTCGGTTTCTCTGTCTTCGCCATGGCAACAGACGTGCCGCACGATGGCGACAGTGGGGCGAGGTTAGCGAATGGAACTGCTGCGTGTGCTCACCTCACTTCTTGTTTCCTCACTCAGACCAGGAGGCAGGGCCAAGCCGGCGCTCTGTGGGGAGCTGGGCCTTTTGCTGGGGCTCCCGCCCCTCCCCGGACGAGCCGTGCGAGGCTCCGCCAGCCCGAGCCCCGAAGCTGGGACAGCTCTTCGGAGTCCCCCTCATGCAGCTCTGTCGGGACGGCAGCCTGCCCGGCACTCTGCTGGTAGGTGTCTTTGGGTGGTGCGAGCCCTTTGGGGGAGAACTCTGGGGGCCAAGTGCCCTCATCCCAATCTGCCTCCGAATGGAGCGATCACCAGACAGCCCCTAGCTCTGGCTGGGAGGTTGGCCAATGTTACTTCAAGGAGTACGAATCGGAGTCAGGCATTGAAGGACGAGGCGAACACAGCAGGAAGGATGGTCTTTGACCGGCTTCAGAAGGACCAGGTGCCCTGGCTGAGACGCGTCACAGGGGGCTCTGTGTGTGTGACGTCCCCGAGTCCAGCTGCCTCCCGGGCCCCTTCCAGCTTCTGCCTTGACCCCTCACTGGGCTCAAGTCTCCTTTAATTATATCTTCATCGGAGGCCACTCAGTCTCACAACTAAAAATATTCATGTGTTTTTGATTTGTGTTCCAAGGATTTAAACAAAAAGTTTCCTCCCTGGGCAGGTATGAATCTGTGAATCCTATCAGAATGTTTCAGATTGAAGCCGTAGAGTTGGGGCTGTGTTATTTCAAATGAGTGTATGCAGTTGTCAGCGGTAGCACTGGCTGAGCGTCCAGTGCCTGTCCAAGCACTGCACTGGGTGTCGGGAATTTTATGCGAAGTGTAAAAAATCGTATCATTTTGGGTCCATGCTCAATACCACCCGAGACCTTGCACCTTTCACGGCCAGTAAATAGCTGTGACTGTCATCGCCACTTCACACAGGAAATAAAGCCCCAGTAAGAATGTCCTGGCTGGGCGAGCTGGCTCAGGCCTGTAATCCTAGCATTCTGGGAGGCTGAGGCGAGAGGATTGCTTGAGCTCAGGAGTTCTAGAACAGCCTGAGCAAGAGCGAGATCCCATCTCTATTTTATTGTAAATAATAAAGGAAAAGAAAATCCTGTGCCCAAGGACATACATCAAATAAGTGGCATCATGGGTCATAAATCCCTCCAGTCCCCTGCCTGTGACTCCTGTTCTCTGTCTACACTGCAAGCAAAGGACGTGAAGACGGAGCAGAGAGGAGTGGGAACAGGCGAGGAGAGAACGTGGTCACAGAAGCTTCCTGGTGGGGGCGGCAGGTCTTCAGCCTGATTTGCAAAGAGCCTGGGAAGTGCAGGAAGGAGGGAGACAGGGCATGCAGTCACCTGGCGGGGAATAAGCAGGTGGGACCCAGTGTGGCAAGAAGGGTTCCCTGCTTGGGGAGGAACGCCCGCCCCTGTGAGGACACAGCCAGAAAAGGATGGTGGAGGGAGAGGGCGATTGAGCAGAGGTCTTGAAGCAGCGTCGATTCACTGAAAAGAAGCAGCTGATGAGAAATGTCTCAGTGCTTGGCTACAGAGTGGATCGATGGGTAGAAAATACAGAGATGCCAAAACACACAACAAAATCCAAAATGTGCTTCGTCCCTTCAGCCTGGGCCCTGTGCTCACGGCCTTGCACGGCGCAGCCCT